TTCCAAGATTTTCATTGGTGGCTCTAATTTAGCACCCACAGCACTTCTTCAGCATTGTGTGTGCAGCATGATGGCCTCGTTTTGCTGAGGCTGTGATATCCTCCTGTTGCCTTGGGAAGGGGCTGGTGGTGCAAGCTGGGGGAGCCTCAGCATGGTAGAATAATGAGAGCCAGACATGGGTACTTAGGAAAATGCTTAGTTTTAACATCTTAAAGCACTTTTCAGCCCAGGCAAATAGATCACCTTGTTCAGTAATCTTTCTGTCCTGAGTGGGCTTGTAACCAGAAAGTTCCAAGATTTGCATGGTTCCTAGGGGTGTCTACTCTAAGGTGCCCAGTTCTTCTTAAAACATTTAAGAGGATATGAGATTTATACCAAGATAATAGAGAAAGTTTAACTTTTTGCTGGAAGAAATGTATAATATTTTCTCTGCAAAAAGTAACATAGAAGAATACTGCTTAGCATCCTTGACCATTGGTAATAACCAGGGCAGTTTAGGTGTGTGAGAAGAACAAAGACTGACATTTATTGAGTACGTGTTATGTATGTAGCTCCTTAGATCTCTTACCAACCTTCCCAACAAGGTTGGGAAATTCCTCCCCTGTAAAATGAACAGTTTGAAAATATCTCTCTTGAAGGATTATTGTGCAGATTGTATAACTCATTTCTGGCATTTAATATCATTTCTGTGTTAAAGAAGATTGAAATTAAAAAAAAGGAAATGGGTATGTTTAAGGTCACTCAAATAGCAGTTGACAACACCAGCATTCAGCCAGATTATCTGATGTCACTGCCAGTGGATTTCCCACAAGACCAAATAAAACATGCTGCCTCCTTGAGGGGTGACGTGAATGTAAAGTGTGTAACCAAAGGAAACAAATCTAACCTGTAGATATCACTGAGATGTTTAATTGGACTGACAGCATTTGAAACAAGAGAAAGGATGTGTTAGTAAGGGATTTACTTTTGCCAAAAGATAGCTTAGTTGTGAGCACTTGGACCACAGGGCAGAGAGATCTGAGAGGACTAAAGGGGACGTCATTGCTCTAAATCAGCAGTTCCTAACATGTCAGAATTAGCCGGTGCCACTTAAGAGTGCAGATTCCTACTCCCAGTCATCTAGAAGTTGTAATTCAGTAGGTCAGGAGAAGGTCTGAAGGATCTGTTTTTGTTGCTGTTGTTTTGAAGATCAGGGGCCCCAAATGACTTCAGATACAGTCACACAGGCTTTTGCTGTTTATGGACCGTGAGAATCCAGCCAAATGGGAAGAATGGATGTTGGTTTCCCAGTTCACATGTAGACGATAGGGTTATTGCAGCCCTTGAAGTCTGAAAAGGCAACTATCTAATGCATTCTTGTCTTGCTCTTTGTTTCATGTTTCAGAGCAGCAGGTTCAAGAGGAGACTGGTTGAGGTGTGTTTATAACCAGTTAGGAAGATCTGCTAGTGATGTGGAAGTAATACAAACTTCTAAAAAAGTGACTTTTAATATCACGAATAGAAACTTCAAAAAGAAGTCAGTCAGATAGGTATCCCAGAATTAGAAAAATACATAGAAGAACTAAGTCTTTTAGCCAGTGGAGAGATTCTAAAAGGAAATATGATTAAACAGGGCTGAAATATTCTGAAATTTGATATTCTGATTATTTTGTCAGCCATAGTGATGGAGAGACATATGTTTAATCCAGGGATTTTAATTAGACATAGATGAAAGGGGCATATGGTCATGGAAATTCACAGAAAGGTGGCCTGTGCCTTTAAGCATGGTATCAAGAAGACCAAACCCCAGGTAATATAAAATTGACCAAAATGTTTAATCCAAGAGGGTTGAAGACACAATAGTCCATTATTTGGAGGAAAATTACAAAGAATAAAGGGATAATATGCCTGAAATAGGTAGGATAGTGACAATAGAAGGAAACAGTGTATTTTGATTTAACTTGGCTCTCATTTGACTTTTCTTTCTCCACTAAATATAATTATCTTCAAACAAGAAAATACAGGAAAATTATAGTCAAGAAAGATGTGAATATATTTAGAAATCTGGCAAATAAATAGGCCTAAAAATATGTTTGCTAGGAAAGTAGTAAGTCTTGTGGTTGTGATTGTTAGAATTGGGGAACACTGAGAATTGAAAGTCAGTGTGCAGAGCTTTTTGGCACAGGCGTATGTGGTACAGGTGGTACAACTACATTTGGTGTTCTGCATGATAGTAATCACAGGTGATTGATGAACAGACTTCCTTGTTTTAAGGACTGTAGAAGGTATATTTGGGGGCTATTAGTTGTTAAATATGATGTTATATTCTAATAGAATTCTCAATTTCAAAGGCTAATCAGTATCTGAAAAGATCATGTAGGGTTCTGTGTCATGTAGGGTTTGGGTGTATACACCTAGAAACGTGTGTACAGGGTGTTATATAAAGCTGTTATCTCTTGGAGGTAGGGTTTAGGACTTTTAAATTTTTATTTGTTTTGCATGTATACATTTTGTCAATTTTTCTAAAATGAACATGGATTTTATATATTAAAAGGGGACACAAAGCAACTGGTGCCAACTTGTAGTAAACATCAGCAAGGGGACACAGAGGATTACCGTAATGTGTACACATTTTATTTTTGGATAAGGGTACCAAACTAGAAAGAAGTAGTAGGTCAAAAGAAGAATGAATGATATAGGGCTGGGGATATAGCTCAGTGGAACAAGCGCCTGCCTGGCAAGTACAAGGTCCTGAGTTCAGTTCCCGGTGCCGCAAAAAAA